TTGATAGTCTGGTGTACCAGTAGGTTATATTTTTGATAGTCTGGTGTACCAGTAGGGGGGATTTTTTGATAGTCTAGTGTACCAGTAGGTTATATTTAGAAAGGTTATATATATATATAAAAGGAAATTTTTTGATACGTCTGGTGTACCAGTAGATTATATTTTTCTAACCGTTATATTTGTGTACTTTTTGACTTTTACGTAATTTTATGCAAATCTAACGAATAGAAAACTTAGTCTACCAATATGTTAACGTACCGGAGAAGGTCATATATATATATATATACACATGAGTTTTTAATGGTTACATTTCTATCAGTAGTTATTATCAAATATAAAAATTTAATGATATAACATGATAAGAATTCAATCTCATTAATTATCATAATTTTTTTTAATCAACTATTCAATTTATTATAACCGTTGTATCAATATCTTACCGCTAAAATAATAATACCTATATGTGTCTATACATATATATATATATATATATATTTATATTTATATATTAACCCCTCCAGGTATTCTTCTAGGTTTGTTGGAACGTCTTGTAATTATTTTTTCTGATTCTGAGTCATTCGTTTTCACGTTCACAGAGATGGAAACTACAAGCCGAAGCGAATGACGAGGCAGAAAGGCTTCTTAGTTCTCAAACAATACCAACAGAACAGGTGTAGAATCCAATCTCTTTCTTAATCATACTTGGCCTCCTCTCCAAATGATCTTTTTGGTTGGATGAGTCAGAGCAAGCACAAATTCCAGTTAACATTTGTACCAAACGTAGCTTTTGAGAATCGATCACAACCACACATCTGGATTCCAGAAGCAGCCACTTTTATGCATGTTATTGAGAAAGCAGGAGGGAGACAGAGATTAGTTGCTTGTTCGTTCATCTCTGAGACATAATGCTCCTCCGGATATTGGCTCTGTGGTAACTGAGAAGTTGGGAGTAGGTCTTTGTGTAAATTAGTTTAATAATGCTTTGACAGTTTTAATGTTCAGAGAAATCCTTTCAATTTATCTCCTCATTTCCATTTAAAGTGTGTTGTAACCAAGAAATCAAGTCAAATTTACATACAAGAAGCTTTGCATATTCTTTCAAATGTGAACGATCTGTTTCATATGAAATACCACGGACCAAAGTTTTTGAATACCCGTCTCTCTCAACCTCAGCATGATGAGAAAACTGGATTTGAATCTAGTTGTGAAGCGGATGGAAATGTATGCTACGAAAAATAAGATCAAATATATCAACTGTCTACTCAATATCCTTGCATGATGAGTCTACAATCACTACACACGAGTTGAACCTTGGTTTGGTAAATTGAACACCTTAATGGGACTCCCAGTTACCGTGTGTTAATACTAAGGTGCTCCTCGCCAGTGGTTGGAACGTCACGAGCCAAGTGATGAAGGGCCAAGAGTCAAAATAAGCGGTTCAAAACAAATTGCATCGAGAATTTCCTACATTTCTGCAAAAGCGCCGTAACTATGCATTCTGAAATTTCATTTCCTCTATGCGTATGAACATACAAAATTGTAATAGTTACAATCTACAAAATGCTCAACTCAATTCGGTTTCAATTCCCAAAGATAGATTATTCAATATTCATCATCTATAAGAAATGTGAGAATGCGACTACAAAGGATTCTCATATTCCTAGACTAAATAAGAGGACATAAGATTCCAACTAATTTTCATATGGGAAGGCATTCGTGCCACAAATCTAAGGAGATCTGGTTTTGATTCCAGTGCAGGGTCCTGGTTCTCTGACTTTCTATCGAAAACCCTAAGGAATTTAGCAATGTTGGGAAGTACAAGCTCTCTACACTGTAAGTGCAACAAGGGTACCTTTGACATGACACTTCCCTTCTGAACATCCAGACCTTCTGGCCTACGCAGCTTGTATGGCTTCCCAGTTGTTGGCTCTATGTTCACTTGAGGCATCTGTTTCCACCTTTTGTGCACAAGCCACCCATATTTATAATCACCCACGATTGGCGTGCCAAGAGCTTCAGCACAATGGACACGGAGCTTTAAAAAGATACAAAAGGCAAAATCAGCTACTGCTTCGCATTCAGTTACTCAGAAGTGAGAAGTAAATAAATCATAAAAAATCTGTCTAGGCTCACGTAGATAGTCGCTCAGACAGTCTTAAAAAGTTCCATACTAGTCTCTCAGAATATTTAGGTTTTCCTATTCGATTCGTACTCTCCTAGCCATACGAATACCCAAACAATCTGAACTCCTTACCTAGCTTGCTTTCCTAGTGTTTCTCATTTCCCTCCGTGCATATTAGTCATAAGACTCACAACTTTATGTAGAAACTCCATTTAACAGTTAAATTCCGTTAATTAGAAAAAGACCAAGGATCACTGTGGGTGGCCTAATGGGTAATAATTAATGAATAGTGCACATATTAATTAGGATTCTAAGAAAAGAAAACTCTTAAGACTCCAAATAAGAAAGTCTTTCAGAAAACTTGACCACATAAATTGCAAGTGTGATGCAGAATACCACCTCTTGACCATATAAATTGCAAGTGTACTGCAACTTGACCATATGAGAGTGAGAGAGAGGACAAGTTAGTCATTTCACCTGATGCTTCCGACTAGTTAACGGACGTAGCTCAAGCCATGAGCATCCGTTTATCATTGGACCAAGCACGCGATATTCAGTTATCGCTTCTTGGGAAGCTTGAAAACCTGTTTGGTGTGCTAATATGACCCTCTCTGTCTTACCATCATTAAGAAGCACCTACAATCAATAACCAAAGAGACCTACAATCACGTTTTTGTTCAAAGAAGAATAGCTGAGCATTGTTGAGAGGTGTAAGGAACCTTGGAAAGAGGAGCACATATTATGCCTTCCTTTTCCTTAGGAGAGCCTATGACCAGGGCCCAGTATTTCTGATATTTTGCTTCACATGCGTCATTCCAGGCCTAGAATTACCAATAAGCATATTAGTCCTAAAACTAAAAGCAATCGGCTAATTCATATCACACTTTTCGAAATTACACTGCCCATTGCATGAAGCCCTTATACCTTACACGTAGATTTTACTTTAATGTTGCTGAATAGCCACTCAAGATGGCTTATGCTTTCTTTTGTTCGTCCCATTAAGAGGAGGCCACTGCTATCTCTATCAAGACGATGAACCTAAGCATCCCAGAAGTCAAAGGCAAAATACTGGAATTGCTCAAAAGGAAATATGATAAAAGAGCATAACTTTGGTTCTAAACATCTTTTTACAACATCATCTAACAGAAATCAACCAAAAAGAAAATCACTGACCAACTTAGGTCCTTCACTGTAGTCATAACTCAGTGCTGCCGCAGCCAATGCATCCATACTGTTATGAACCGGAAGATGTCCCTAATAAGAAATCCAAAGTTCAAACAATATTCCACCACTCAACTGCTGCAAAAAAGATAGTTTCTTAGTTTCTAACCTTGACAGGCAATCTTGGAGGCTTGTTCAAAACAAGTATAGCAGAGTCCTGAAATTCCTCAAAATAAAAATAAACCACCAACTTAAATATATGCCACAACTTTTATAAAAATGACCAAAAAGCAGTTAACCAAGAAGACATGCCTTGTAGTGCACAAGCCTTTGCAAGTAGGCTATTTCATCAGCATTTGGGTGTAGTGTCCCACTTGGTATGACATCAAATCTCTTGGAAATCCTGCTCTCCGCCACTGAAACAGGTACATATATTCTGGTCCCTTCCACCATGACCTCATTGGGCTTTATCTGTAGTTCATATCTGTATTATTGTGTATCAATCAAACCCAAATGGAAATGAAACACACCAAACACTTTAAACCAAAGTTGACACAATTTGCTAACATCAATCAGTACCTTTCTCATGGGTTTCATTTTCCTGTCCCTTTCAGCCAAGGGGTCACCAAAGTTTGAGCACTCCATTTGAACCTAAAACAAAATGAAAAAAAAAAAAAAAATTGAAATAAAAAAAGGACTATGAAAGTACGTACTCCACACTTTAATGTAATATGGGCAATGGGATGGATATGTGTGTTCATCATGATCATTAGAGATTTTGAAATCATTTAAATTTACCTTCATATTTCAAAGTATTTTTTTTTTCTTTTTTGGAATTCAGACCCTAAACCTGAAGGGTGTGATTTTATTGCCAAACTATGCACGCCGCACACAACTATATTTTATAATTCATAGTGTAGAGTCTAGTTAGTTTCTCTTTTTTTTTTAGTTGAATCAGGATTGCCCATCTATAATAGGCTTGTTGGTCACATTTACAGACAATTAAAATTTCCCTCTACTAGCAATAGTCTTCCTCTTCCAAATTCTTCAAGTCTGTCTCTCATTAATGATGCAGGAGCAAACTTGAACTTGGGAGGCGACCCGCATTAGATTCGCAAACGACTTCTCGAAGTAAAGACTTAAGGCCCCATTCATTTACCGATTCGAGTTTAGAATTTGAGTTTTGCTACAGTAAAAAAACTCGTAAAAACCGTCACATCTAACTTTTTTACTACAGTAAGAAACTCTTCTCAACTATAATTAAAAACTCGAATTAGCAAATTAAACGGATTCAAAATTCAGAATCATTCAGAATCATTCTCGATTTACGTGTATTTTTTGTGTGAGAAAATACTGTAGCGAACCATAAACCATGATTTGAATCAAGACACGAATTCACCAACCAAACGCACATTTTTTTGCTACAGTAAGAAATTCTTCTCAACTAGAATTAAAAACTCGAATCAGCAAATTAAACGGACCCTAAATGACTAGTGTTTGAGGTGGATTCTCGAGTCTAAGACATGTTTAAGAGTTCGTTTGGTTCATGGATTAAAACCATGAGATTAAAATTATTTTCAATTTACGTGTGTTTTTTGTGAAAAAAAATACTGTAACAAACTATGATATGATTCGAATCAGAGAATAATTCTCCAACCAAACGGGCTCTAAAGAATTTAAAGGATTTGATTGCGTCTCATTCTCTCATATTAGTTGCAACTTTTCTATAATATGCATCAAATTCACAACACCTATCCTAAAACTTGAACTGGGAAAACACAGCCCATCAAAACACTAACACTAACTTATTTTCACCAAAAAAAAAACTTTCTTGAGAAATTACAAAGTGAAATCAAGAAATACTCACAAGAGACTTGTTGAAGTGAGACTGGATGACATTATCGTGGACCTCTTCAAAGTAATACTTCACCCAACTAATGGCGGTTACACGTTCCGAGTTTTTTCCCGGCAAAGGGAGTCCCGGGAACGGAGGCAAAGAAAGCAGCTGTCTGGGCTTTGGGCCCTCCTTCGGGCCTCCCAATTGGGCTACGTTGTTCGACACTCTGATCACCGGCCCGGCCTCAGCCGCTGCCGGCGGTCGGATTCTGGAGTACTGTCGGATTAAAATTCTCCACATTTCTTCCACATGTAAGCTCAAGATACTAAGCTATTGAGCTATTCTCTTCTCTGCTTAGAATCAGAACCACTTTTTTCTGAGACGACCAAACGAGGCCTTACTGCTTGAGCTCTATAATGGCGGACGAAATGGACTGGAGCCGTTGAGACTTAACGGCGAGACTGAGAGAGGAACGGGCTGGGCCCTGGGGCTTTGATGAAGAAAGATTCAGCCCATCGGGCTAAATTTGGGCCTATAGCGCCGTTTTCTGCAGCCCATTAAGATAGACAAGAGGCCGCGATATCTCAGTGGGCTTTTAAATTTAAAGTGAAATAATAAAATCTTTTAGAATATTTAACAAATCGAAAAAATATATATTTTATTAAAAAATTATTACGTAATTTTTTTATTACATAAGTATTATAATAATTATTATGTAAATTTTTTTTGTTTCTATCAT